AGGTCTTCAATGCAATCGAGCCATCTCATGTTACATTGGCCCTGGGCTGTCTTGCTTCTAGCTTTGACAAGGAAGTGCTGCTTGAGAGCCTCGCCTATGAATTCCTCACTACATGACCAAACTATCATAATTCTGATATTTCAGTCTGCAGAAAAAATTGACTCGTGACGCCAACCGTATTGGAAAACGTGATTTTTAAAATTTTGTCTCGCCATGTCAGAAATCAATTGATCTTTGCTATGCATACCTTCTTTAGTAGAAGAAGGTACGACGATGTATAATCCTGTCAATCATCCGTACGGGGATGGCTTGTTCACCTCAATCCTCGATCTTTTGAACGCATGACGCGCGAGGCTCAGGGTCACTGAGTACAGCGTTTGTTTCCATGCACTGAGTGTCATTCTTAACACTCTCGGATGACTAAGGTTAGAAGTGATTTCTTTCGCTATGATACAAAAAATCTTGCCATCAAAAAATCCAACTTCAGCGTCACCGTTGTGGAAAGAAGAGAGAGTTCATCGTCAATCTTTTTTACCATGAGAGTATAGCTCACTGGAACGATGATGAATATTCGGTAACACTGGAAGAAACATTTGGCAGTGCCTGGTGGGTCACATCGGTGAATGGAAAGAAAATGGTATCCATGGTGGCCGTTGATAAACCAAATGGCCGTTCGAAACGTCAGTTCAAAATCATGACTTTTGTTCATGCATCGTCCATTTGTCCGTAACCATTATATCGAAAAACCTTATATATTACCTCTTGCTTCAGTCATTCGTAGCTGACCCGTAGCGATCTCAGATGCCTTTTGTACCTCATCGTTGATGACCAATTCCTGGAAGTTTAGCATATGGACCTTGCCAAAATTTGTACCTTTATATCGTCCTCGCTCTTAACATAGGGCGGTATTAACCATTGAAGATTTTATTAAATAATGGGTGTTGTGCTTGTACGTTATTATTCATCGTAAAGGCGAAACAGATCACTCTCAATTAATCGCAGTGAGATATTACATCCCATGCTATGCAGGCGGACAATAGAAATTGTTTTCTTCTTGCTATAAAGACCGAAGTGCTGCTTTGTCTTTGGACGGAAGAAAAGCTCATTATCAACAGCCCTCTTCTCACACATCGCCTTGAGACTTCCACCAGCAAACAGCAGGTTATTTCTTGGTGCACAGTCATTGTTCAAATAAGCAAGTTCTTCACTGTCTCCAAAGTAGCAACAATTAACGCATTGACAAATGCATCAGTTTTGAGAATATGTCGCAATCAAACAATGAATTCCGTTACTGTTCAGCACGTCTGCGGCAGCTGAATCATTTTCAGCCAGTAAGCCATTCAGATGCGTCTGAAACAATGGCCCTGATCTGTCTTCCAATAAAGCATTCCTTAGTGTTAGGTTCTAATAAACCCCTGTCTGTTGAATTTCACAAGTTAATCTACATATAGTATGAAATTAGAATATAAAATTTATACAGGATCTTTCACAATATACGTCACAAGTAAACAATGCTCATTGCATGCCTATATTGTATGGCTTAACTAGGTACAGCGTAAAATTACAACAGTATGTATCAAAGGTATCCATTCTATAATCTCCCAGTTGCAAAATTTAACATGTTCAATTTTTGTGTTAAAATGTCATTATATGTAGCACATACCTACACGTCTATATTATCAAGCTATATTCTTCAGTGTGATAATGAATAATACAACAAAATATAATACATATAGGCATAGTAGGAACGCATCATGAAGAAATTACAGCCTACGCTGCCTATTATCATATTTAAACGTCAAGTTGAACTATGCGCATTAGCTTGATGGTATTACTACAGTCAAAGACAACCGACTGCAATTGGGCAGAGACCGTCGAACGTACCTCCAAACACTCCTGAAAGAGGTGCAGTCTGTAGACGCGATCCGGCGCCTCCTGCAAACGACCGGAAAGAGACTGGGTGTGTCTGTAAACGATAGGAACCCTTCCTTTATCACGTAAGTAGAAGATGAGACTGCCAGCAGGGTCATCGGGGACGGATGTTCCTGTTGGCGCCATTTTGTATCGAGAGTGCAATACAGCCTGTTGGTGAACGTCGATTGATTCCCTAGGATGAACAAAAGATGCGCAACTACCGAAAAGGACTAATTGGCGTTGAGCTACGGTAACGGAAGCGTAGAAGATCCCGGGGTCGAATTTGGAAAGAATTCGTTGGCAGTTGTTGCCTCTGTATTTAACGACATTAATAAAAGCTATTGGTCCTGACTTTGTGGTTTATTCTTTTGCAACCCATGACCGGTTGCAAGATGTAAGCTGCATATAGTTAGGCCATAGCGGCGTTGAGTTGAACTAACATCTTTCGAACGATTATTAATGATGATTTTGCATGTAGTTAAATAAGATGGAACCATGCTTGTTCAGATGTCTTTATAAGCATCTATAAGCAAGGGACAATGCGATCCTCCGCCAAATTTGGTTCTGGACGAGATAAGCGATTATTAACCTATTCAGTTCTAAAAAAATTATATCTACAAGTGTATATATAGAATGCAGCCACTGGCGACTCTATGATTGAGGTGATCCACATTCTGTTCCCTCACAAGAACTCAGCGTATTCTATTGCCTCTCAGTTTCAGACAGTAAATGTAACGGCGTCGTGCACACAATCGACAACGTGTGATTGCGAAGAAACTCAGACTATGAGAAGTAATTAAAAATTGTCCAGGTGGAAGCATGAAAGTCCAAATTTGCTGTCCGAACGAAGTCGTAGATCATCATTCAATCCGCAGTGCTGCTTAAGCACGAAACTATGAAAAAACTAAACGTGACCGAGGAAGACACGCTACAGTGTGAGGTAGCTATTCACTCATTCGCTGACTCGCTCATTAACTCATTCATTCGTTCTTTCGTTCTCGATGCCTCCCATTCCTCACGTGGCTCAAAGAAGTTCGCACATGAAATACGCTACAGTATTTCCCGATTGAGCATAGGCGACAGCTGAATATGCCATGTAGTCCCATCATCGGACCAGACTACAACTTATGCATCCCTGACCACCCATCAGGATTCGAATGCCACGCGGGGAATGTACGTATGTGCGCTCGTCCGTGCAAATGTATCTTCAGTGTGTTCGATCGACTGGCGGACGGCCGGATGCGGCCAACGCGTGTCTGGAAATCCTGCGCATGACTCACTGCGGACAATCGATTTGCCAGAGGCGTCGTCGTCGACGGTGAGGTCATCGAGGAGGAGGTTGATGGCGAGACAAAACAATTCACGCAATGTGCACTACAAATATGTGACCTCATTTCGAGCAGGCAGTTGTGAACGAGGGAGAGGAGAGTAAAGCGCGTAGTGGCAAAAAAAATGAGAGAAGAAACGAACAAAATAAACGAAAATTGCACAAACCTGTGAAGATAGGAGACGGTGATATTCTGAGAGACATCAACGGAGATGCGGAAGAAGTCATCGAGGAAGTCGCGGAAGATGCCTCCAGGTACATCGCCGAGGATCTCCTAGAAGGAGAAAGCGAAAAGTGAGGTAGGAAGCCACAGAATCATAAGAATCAAAGGATTGCGGTACCTTGAGGACGGAGACTATGGTGCTGAGCTGGACACATTGCGGATTGACGGCCTGCGATGACTG